CAATCAACATATTACCCATTAGTTTATAATGACAATGAGAACTGATACCTGTTTGATATTTATATATAATATTGTGACACGCAATTTTGACAACATGGCATTCAAAATCATCATGCGTATATATATATATATATCATTAATGATTATTTTCCTATCTATTGGCTTAATATGTTATTTCACAAATCTAAAACCTGTTTAAATTTTAATCAATTAAAATTTTAAATAAATAAAAAATAGAAAATAAATATAAATATTCATACATGCACATATATATATATATATGAATATATGTATGTATGTATTTTTATTTATTATTTTTTTTCAGACTATTATATTTTTTTTAAAATAATAATATATAATTTTTTAAAAATAAAAATACAATATATAATTTTTATCAAATAGTTTATTATTATTATTATTATTAGTGACCGTGTATTCTGCATCGAGGTCCAGACTAATCTCAGGGATAAGGAAAAGTTTTTTATTATTTGATAAAAAAATAATAATTTTTCGAAATTTTTTTACAAGATGAGGTTTTTCTTTTAGTTTTATAAAAATTATATGTACTTTTTTTTATAGCCATGTATATTACTTAGTAACTAAAACGAAGTCAATTAGAAATATACGTGATAAGAATTGAGTGTAAATATCTTAAACAACACGAAATTTGAAAATTCTACAATGAATGATGTAAATACAGTGTCTTACCATCCGATTATAATATAATACTAGTTGAGAGTGGTAAATAGATTTCCCTCCCTATATATATATATATATAACTTATCACTAAAACATTATCGGATACCAATAAGGGTTAAAGATTTTCTCTCACTCGATACAGCTGACCAGAAAGAAAAAAAAATCAACCAACATGTATAGAAAAAAATTGTCAAATAATGAATATACATGTTTTAATTGTATGTATATATAAAGGCTAAAGAATTCCCTTGTTTCTTTTTCTTTTATTGTTAATTGGAATATATTTTTTCTTAGTCTATAATTTAGTTTAATATCATTATTTATGTGTATTACTATTTATTAACTTTTTATCTTTAAAATTATTTTTCTCTTTTGTTTTCTTTACTTTTTACTTTTAGTCTCAATTTCATCTTATGAAGGGCCGAATTGGCTAAAAAAAAGTATCGTAATGCTTTTTCAAAAATATATTCATCTTATATATAAATCGTAACGTTTACAAATCCATCAATAAAGTCTTTAGTTCTATCTGAACTTATTTTTCTCGTCAAACGTGTTACAAACGAGAAAAACAGAAAAAACGTGAAACATCTATAATAATCTTAAAATTTACTCATGAACGCAATACTACATGAATCAGCTTTTTAATTATGGTTAATGTTGTTTGAGCGTTGAAATGAAAACTAGATCACTGAAGCAAATCGAACAAGTGAAATTAAGAAACCAAAAACATTTGAAGCTTATTTTGTACAAAAATTCGTCCAAAAAAATATAATATATCTGTGTTTTACATTTCCAACACCAGAATGATTTTCTCCTTCTAATCCTGCCTAAATAAAATAATGAGGTCCGAAAAGAAAATGTCCAAACGGAATGGCTGTGGGTCAACCACTGATGACTCCTGAGTTGAAATATCCATTGGCTTGACCAGCTGTTTTAAATTGACCCTGCAAAAACCAAGGCCATTTGAAATGTTTTTTTTTAAAATAAGAATTAATTACCAGAGACAAAATAAAAATAAAAAAATAAATGTGACTATCATTGATTCTCTAACATGACCATATGTAGAGGGTATTACAAAATACTCTTACATGTACTACTGCAGTAGAATCATGCAGCTAAATTAATTAAAACCTAAATTCACGTACATGTTTCTTTCAGAATTAGGGGTGTCAAAACGAGTTCGGCTCGCGAATCGAGTCAGAAAACGAACACGAGCGATCTAAGCCATGATTTTTTCAGTTCATTAAAAAACGAGCATAACGAGTCAGGTTCATTGAACACGTGGCCGTAACGACCAGTTCGGCGAGTTGGCGATCTGCTCAACGAACTGGCTTTTTTTTTTAAAAAAAAATCAATTTATATATAAAAAACTCTAATATAATTTTATATTCTTTTTTTTTTCTCATATCATATGATATTATAAATATCCTAATTATTATGGTGGTGATAATTTAAAATATTAAATGAAAATTAGAGAATAAAATTAAATGAAAATTTGAGTATAAATATAAAAATGTTATTGAAATATATTTAGTTGTTATTATCTATTTAAATTATTTTTTATTAAACTATTATTAGATTATTTTTTATCTTTTGAAATCTCAACCAATACTATTTTATGTAATTTATGATATTGAAGTTTTATTAATTTTTTACATATTTATTTAAATTTATAGTTAAATTTAAAATAAATATAAATAAAAATATTATATATCTCTAGGTCAACGAAGTGGCTCGTTCAAATCGAAAAACTGGCGAGCGATCTGAGTCGATGTTTTTCTGACTCGTTAGAAAACGAGCCTAACGATATGAGTCCAAAACGATCCGAGCAAAAAATGATCCGAGGTGACTCGTTTGACACCTCTATTTAGAACGAGTTCAGTTGGCAACACATGCGTACGTCATCATGACTTCAGCATGGCAACCATTATTGTTGAATTTTGTACGTTTACTTTTGCTGGCAATGAACAGTGCATTCCTTAATTTGAGAAACAAATTGGCTAATGACATTTCTGCCGTCACATAATGCATGATTCTCGTAATAATGACAATTGATACTTGTGGCCTCCTTTTTCCCTTCCTATCTCTTTTCGGTTCCAGAGTTGGCATGCTTCTTGTAAATTTTTTTGGTGTAAATGCATTTTTAAATTTCCATGAAGATTTGCAAAATAATGTATATGTATGATTATAACTGTGGTGGTAAGGGGAAAAATCGACAGTGACATTAAATATCCGTAAAATGTATCGAGTAAGTGAGAAAGGAACTAAAGGGTTATATTCTGTTTGAACGAGTTCACTTATTTGTTCATCTCCTTGTGGTCAACATTGGATAACTCGTTTTCTAGATCAACCCCGCGGCCTTTTCTCTTGATTTAAATTTCAAAGGACACATACAAATCTTACCTTTTATATATATATATATATGTGTGTGTGTGTGTGTGTGTGTGTGTGACCTTTTCGAGAAACTATATCAGGGAAGTTCATTTCTATAAGGAAAAAATATAAACAAATGGATTTCAAATTCATATCAAACTTTGGCTATTGCATTGCTTTCTCTCTCTCGTGTGAATCACGGGGAACGTCTCAATCCGAGGATTAAGAAACGGAACCTCTTGTCTGAATTCGTTCGTGTTGAAGCCCATGCCCTCGGGAACCTTCCGACAACATCTCATTCGAACCCGAATAACCGAAAGAAAATATGCCTTAAGGACCACCCAGTTTCAGTTTAAACTCAACGCCTCTGTGTCTCGGATAATGTTATCAGTTAACGTAATTTTATTTATGTCTGGCTATACACGTTTATGTATCTATCGTGATTTATATATTATATTGTAGTAGTTTTTTTTAGTGAAAAAATGTCCTCTTGTACTTTTCTAATTGTCATTTATTGATATTGGAAGTATCAGCGAGAATTAAACAAGAACCGGACACGAGACAAAGCAAATGCAAAAGTCGTTCGATACAAATTAGTGATGTCACCTTTGTCCGTGCCTGAAAAAACATTGTGCCAGCAAACTTGGTTAAGCGAATAACATAATATATAAATCAAATCGAATTTAATATAAAAATCCAATGATTATGATTTTTTAAATAAAAAATAAACCGAATAAAAGTAACCATAAAACTAAAAATTCCTTTTCAACATAAGTATTTATATCAATAAAAATCAAATTCAAATCAAACCCAAATAAATAATTTTTTTAAATATTAGAGGTGACCAATTTAGTTAATAATTGAATAATTGAATCGATCCGAACTAAATAACACATAATCGTAACTGAACAAAGTTTGGTGTACCGAACGACTATGATATATGTAAAATCGAATCCAAACCAAATAAAAAATAATAGAAATCTTTTAAAAAATAAATATTTTTTATAAATAAAAACTAGAATCGAATCAAGCCGAACGGAAATAAAACAAATTCAATATAAAAATTAAATGGTTGTAGTTTTGTAAAACCGAAATATAACCAATCTGAATACGAAACGAAATCCAAAATGGTAACATTTGGTTATTCATATATGAATCGATCTGAAACAAATAACACGTAATTGTAATCGAATCAAACCAAACTTGATATAAAAAACTGAATGGTTAGGTTATTTTTATAACCGAAAAAATGAATTCGAAGTAAATATAAAAAACAAAAAATAACTGATCGAATTTCTTTAGACAATAAGTATTTTATAATTATAACCGAATTTGATTCGAATGTAAAATAAAACCCGAATTATGTAAAACCAAAAAGACTCCAAACCAAATAAAACCTAATCGAATCCAAACCAATTATCTCTGATAGAACTAAATTGAATGATTATAATTCTTATAACCCAAAAAATTAGAATCCGATGGAAAACCGAAAATGCATGGTCACCCTTACCTTCAAACAACCATTTTGATGCAACGATTAATTCAAGGGATATTGTTATGCATAATTAATGGTACGTAATGACCAAGAAAAATATGCAAAATAATTATGATGAGAGCGGAAAACGTTGATCGTTGAACCGTCGTCGTGCGTGCTCTCTGATGATAGTAGAGAGTAGCCGCACACCACATCATTACCAATTTGGAAAGAATCAATGGCGCAGACGAAAAGTCTTTCCTCTCCTTGCCTTTGGTAACATCACGCGACGACTGTTTCTGGCCCGGAAGACTTTACCGGGTCGGATCACTGATCATAATCGGATCAACAAGTCAACACCTTGACTTGACCAAATCGGCATCTTAGGACTTAGGTTGCTTTAAATTCACAAATTCTTTTTCTCCATGTATAATCTTAATAGCATTATCTTTCAGTCATCCCTCGTTGTTTGAAAAGCAAACCAAACAAGACCAAACTGAAACCGCATTTTTCATGATCAGACAGAAAATCTCATCAGAGAGTTCAGAAAAAGATCCGACAGCGATGCTCATCGGAGACAAGATTGTAGATCACATTAACAGAGGTTCAGAAGAAGAAGAAGATGACGGAGACGTTTTCCCGCTTCCCGGGTTTCGGTTTCATCCGACGGACGACGAGCTTGTCGGGTTTTATCTGTTGAGGAAGGTTCAGAAAAAACCGATCAAGATGGATATCATCAAGCACGTCGACATCTATAAATTCGATCCCTGGGATATTCCAAGTACGTTCCGTGTTACCATGCATCTCTCCACTTCTTCTTTTTTCTTCTTCTCCCTCCTCCTCCTCCTCTGTGCGTGTATGCTTCAAGTTGGTTGTCAAGCGTGCTCTTGGTTAACGATAGCTTGGACGGTTATAGTGATGGAACAAAATCCGATTGAACTCTATATATATATACCCGTAGCAGATCGAATTGTTTTTCTTACGACGGCTCTTATTATGGGATATGTATTTGTGCATGCGTTCGAGTGTAAGTACGTGTGTATGAGTGTATCTATATCTGTACGTGAATGCAAGACATATAGGCGGTGGTTAAACTAGGGTTCTTCGCGTATAAGAATTTCGTGTTGCCATTCAAGTAAACAGGTCCTTTTTGGGTAATCAGAAAAATATACAAGCAAACAAGTTAGCCTCCATGTATTTCTGATTATACACTGGAATTTCAACGATTAGCACATGTATGAATTTTAATACTGCATAGGGATAGATGTACAACACACGAACTTATGATAACCCACGCCTTCACGAAGACATGAAATCATAAATTTAAAGATACAAAGTATATAAATATAGATATATGTTTATACATAGTTAGCAATTTGTTGAATATGTGAAAAAGGATCGAGCAATACGGAGAACGAGAGCTACTTCTTCTGCAAGAGAGGGCGAAAGTACAGAAACAGCATAAGGCCAAATAGGGTGACGGGGTCGGGGTTCTGGAAAGCCACGGGCATTGACAAACCGGTTTATTCTGACAGCCACAAAGCCGCAGGCGACCAAAGTAACTCGGTCATCATCGGTCTGAAGAAGACTCTCGTTTACTACCGAGGAAGCGCCGGAAAAGGCACCAAGACCGAGTGGATGATGCACGAGTTCCGTCTTCCCACCAGCAGCGACAACGTCAATAACCCTAACTCTACGTCTTCATCACAAGAAGCGGTAAGATAATATAATATTAGTATCACACCTCTTACAGAAATATTTGTCTTCTTTTTTTCTTGGTTTTGTATGGAGCCCGTAAATGCATTGTGTCGAAGGATGACAACTTTTATATATACGTCTATTATATATTTTGATACTAGAAGACAGTAATTAAATTAATAGGAACCGTCTTAGACAAAGTGCATCGATTAAACTTAATATCTGTTAATGTTATGTAATAAATTAGTCTCAGATTTTAAAATACGACGTATTATACCAACACACTCATATGCTATGCTGGTTCAAGCTGTTTCTTGGTTTTCTTGTGATGCATATGAATGCAGGAGGTGTGGACACTGTGCCGAATATTCAAGAGAAATGTGTCAAGTAGGAAATACACTCCGGATTGGAGAGAATTAGCTTCCAGCAAACGTGTAAAGCAGCATCAACCCCACACGAGCTTCCATCAGGAAGCTTATATCAACTTTGGCGACACGGATAGTGCGGATGTGATCCCTCCTCACATCAATGAGAAGAATGTTGTAGCAAACAAGACAAACGACGGAAACATGTTCCATTACGCTAATCAGCTGAGCGCCACGCACGCCGTGACAACAGTGTTACCTGCGGGGCCAGTTCCGGAGTTCTCCAACGACAACCATCAGGAGTTCTCGTACGGGAACTGGGACGAGCTTAGATCAATGGTTGACTTTGCTTTTGGTCAATCTTCCTCGTAGAACTCTGTAGTAAATTATCGAATCCACGTATGCGTACGTACATTCGTACCAAGGCATGTATGCAAGTAGCTCTGTTTTTTTTTTCTCGGGTGTAACCCTTGTTTTTATAGCTGATGTATCGTTTTTTGTTTGCATGTTGATGAACTGATCAGTTTTGTAATAGGGATAATTGATTATCAGTTAGGGGTGGGCACGGATCGGATATCCGTAATTTTTCAGATATCCGTATCCGTATCCGTATCCGATCCGCACAAATACTCGATTTTATTATCGGTATCCGATTCGTAATTTACGGATATCCGAAATTTCGGATATTCGTAAATATCGCGGATATTTACGAATATCCGTATCCGACATAACAATTATAAAAATTAAATTCAAATTTAAATAACAATTTTAAATATAAAAGAAAATATATATAAGTTATTTAATATAAATGTTATTCACAATTTAAAATTCACAATTTAAATATTTTAAATCAATTCAAATACAAATATAATCATAATCTATTATGATAAATTTTAATATTCAAAAAATTAAATATTCTAAATCTCAATATATACAAAATATTTCTTGAATATACATATAAAATATGTATGTATAAAGCATTTTAAATTTTTATAGCAAATTATTTTTATATTTAATAATATTATTAATTAGTACGGATCTCAGATATGTCGGATAATTCGATTTTGATATCCGTATCCGACAAACATTTCAAAATGCTCCCCCCCCCTTGCGTGGAAAGTATTCGACATTATTTTAGTAAACTATGCTCGACTTTTTGCCGAATATATGACAAAATCAGATTATATACAACCATTGAAACAAAATTTTTGGCGTGTAAAGTCAAAGGGCCGGGGACCTACAAATTCTATTGGTTGAGACCAAGAAAGAGAAACCCTATAATCTTGTATGGATCTCAACCGCATATGGCTTCTATGTATAATTTAGTGGGCGAGTCTTATGATGTTTTGCATTAGAATCAAATTCAATCTTCGGAAGAAAAAAAAAGGATTGGGCCAACAGTTGTCTTTTGTTTTAATTCTTTTTCAACCTCATCTTCGTAGTTGTTTCAACCCAAACACAAAAAGATTATTACTATAATGCTTGCGTGGTGGACTCAAGCCTTGATGGAGAAGTGATGCATAGTGGCTTTAGCACACATCACAATACGTACCAAATCCACCGCACAAAGTAGGGGAACTCATTAAAGATGATTTTATGCCCTCTTTCTATGGTTTGGTGTGTTTCCTTCTTATCTTCTTGACCTATACACACTTGCTTCTGTTTCCGAATTCAAACTTTAACAGATTCTTATATCCCTTTCAAAGTGCATTACTTTATGGTGGAATCAACTTATAAGGTATGATTGTAAATAGTGGATGTCAACCGTTTTATTCAAATTTAAAACTTATTGATAACACCTGAGTTAATTAATATAATTCCATACACCACTCAGATAATGTTCCAGATACCTTTAATTATTTTTTTCTGAATTCTTTGGCCAAACCATGTATCTCCATTATATTTTATATTATAACTTGATATGTATGCATGTATGTATGTATGCGTGTATGTGTGTATGCATGTATGTATGTATGTGTGTATGCATGTACTGCTCAAGATTCAGTTTGAGCAACGGATCTTATTGTAAGGTGGTATTGCAAAAAGAGAACGTGTCCACTTAAACTGGATTGGAAGATCACCCCTGAACGTTTAATCAAAGAAGTATAACATTAATCATTTGTGTGTATCTTGTTGGTTTCACCGGTATGGATATTACAAATCTTGGATCTAAGGAACGAAAGTGACCACGGAAAGAATCGGTGGGATTCAATTTGGTGTGTGGTTAGAATATTTAGTAGAGATTGGTGATATACACGTTCTCGACGATGAGAAAGAATCGGGACATCTTTCATTATTCCATGGTTGACATGTCCACCACTGGGTCTCATCAAAGTTTCTCCATTGTCCAAAGCGCATATGACTTTTTTTTTTCCTGAGATTAATGATATACACACACACTATATATTATATCTCTGGATGCTATAACAATGTAGGGTCATGGATTGTTAAGAGGTTAGGCATAAGAACAAAGTAGACCGAAATGATTATGTATTCGTACGCCTTTTTCAGTGCCCACTCTTTGCAAGGATAACTTATCATTACCCCGAATATGGACTTATTAAATTTAAGTGTTGACGAGAACGTAAGTAGAGAGTTAAAATATTTACTATTAATCCAACAAATATTCGTGTAACAAGAAAATTAATATAAATTTATTGGCCCTACCCCGACAAAACCAATACATATTTCTTCCCCTATTTAATTTATCTTTCGTTGTATCCACTATCATTATTGTTTTTTGTGAAAACTCTACCGAATATGGATCTATTGGGACCCTAAGAGAACAAAGATGTACGTACCTGTGAAGTCGGTATCAGAATCCTCACGGCCACTCCGACACTCGTACGTGCTCGAATCGAAAGACACCGGAGACTTTTAACGAGTTCGGTTACCGAGTTTCCTCGGGCCTACATCTCGGCCGGAATGGTACCGGCGAATCCACTAGAGAACGGAAACACAACCGAGAGACGGAGCTCCACAAGTCGGAGACTCGCCCCAACAAGAAAGGACCAGAAATCCCCAAGGGATCGCACGAAAGAACCTTACCGACCCTTACCACCTTCGCCTTTGGCGAGTTGCCGTCGGTCTGCGCTTCGCCGTCGCCGGGAAGCACCTCCTCCTTCCGATCTCCCTTCGTCTTCTCCATCTTCTCTCTCGAATGTTCTCTGCCTCGAGCCACGCACCCTCGTGTCGTCAAATTCACGCCATCCTTAGGGTTTCATTAACCCTTAGCCTAAAACGCTGCGTCTCGGCTCATTTGGGCCGCGTTCCTTTTCCGCCATAACAAGCCGCTGGGCCGTGCGGCCCAACAATCTCCACCTTGGTGGAGAAAGGAACGAACGAGAACAATAATAACAAATATATAAAACACTAGTGGGATTCGCCGTTTCCAGCACCGATCGACTTTCGTCGATCCCTCGACTTTCGTCGATCCCTCGACTTTCGTCGGAATTTAAAACAAACTTACCTTACTTACCTGACTTACCTGTCCCGGAATTAGTCATATGTCGTCCTGAATCTGATGAAGCTCCCGTCGATGACTCCTCGTGGCCTCGTCGCCTTATCCCGCCACCGATCAGCTCATCCAAACCTGAAACACTCGGTAAACGTGTTAGAACGTTCACCCCGATAAGACTCGAACCGTAGTCCTATCCCGCGTCGCCCGACCGGCGAACGCTACCCTCGGTTGTATGACTCCCTAGACCGTCTAACTAACCCTCCTAGTAAAGTCCAAGACTATACCCGCTAGCTAACCCGAGGATTACACCCGACGTCTACCCGTCTCCTAAGTCTATCCCGACTTCCCCCGAGACTAACCTGAGTCATACTACCGAAACTCGCTAGATACCTAGCCCGGATCCCCGTGAAGTCTATGTTGGTTGTGATGCTCTAGGATGATCCGTGATATGACATTTCGACATATGTATTGATTCATTGATTTATGAATGCATTACTATTCCCGTTATATGATTTGCATGTTTGTTATATTACGGTAAATATCCTTGAATCATAGCAGATGATTCTAAATTCCCTGGTCAGTTATCATTGTGGGAACAATGATGAATTAAGACTAGCATGATGTGTGATGGATGATTTTGATCATATGCATTAGATGCGAATCACAATCATGGGTTCTCGTTTGGAACGAGTTACTGGATGACCCGCATGAGATTGTCACATGGACATGAGTCATGACTTGAATCTCATACAGCGGTTCGTTCTTGGATCCTCAGACCTGAGATGTCTAGAGTATCTGATATGAGGAGTGACGTGTCTTGACTGCGTCAAACGTCGTCTTTAACCGGATGATCATAACGGCGTTGCTCAGATACGTTCACGAATCATATGCAGATAGTAGACATGCAATACGGGACTTGTCACCTCCTACGCAGGAGAGATGTCGATGGGCCCCTCGTGGAAATCGGACTGTGAAAATGCGTGACCACGCTATAGATGAATGTACATCTATTTTATCAGTCGGTTTGCCTAGACAAGTAAGCGGTTGAACTTGAAGGGTGACTCATACCATGCCCTTGTTCAACATACGACATCGTGAGACAAAGGATCAGAACTCGAACTAATGCTGGCTTTGTTAGATCACCTCTAACTATATTCTAGGTGGGTGGTCATGGCGTCTTGCTAGAGGCTAACCATGACTTGTGGTGCGGGAAAGGTTTCCGAAACCACTGCCACTTCGAATGGGCCTACAGGGTCACACACCATTAGGGATGGATCACACGTGAAGAGAACAACGCGAGAAAAGAGCGACGGAGCGATCTGGAAGA